TGATCATGAATGGTTTGGTGAACATCTCTCAGTCTATCTCTCTCATTCTCTCTGCCTCTGTCTCTCACACACCACAAGATTCATTTACATCTATGATGATTTGACACATATGTGGTCATAGAGATGGCATCTGGGATGTAAATGATGGATTAACAAGCATCCAAACTGAGGGCTTCCTTGACATCAGGTAAAGACCTAGCACTCATTTTTCCAGCTGCACAACAATCATTCCTCCATGTGAACAAGAACTGATGAATCCCACCCCCTCTCCATGAACATTAGTGTTGCTTCCAATTCCCTACTAGTTAAACCAGGACTGTGATTAACATCCTTGAAAAGACATCTTTGAAAAATTGTGCAAGAATTTTAGTATGATCAGCACTAAGCATCAGCACTACTCAGAAAGGGGTGCACTTGTGGAACTGTGATGCATCCTGCATACTGTTCTCCCAGAGAGGAGAGTCTGCTCACTCTTCCCTCCAAGGGATCTACTGTGGCCTCTGCCTCCTCATGTTGTCCCTAGAGCTGGTTGTCACCAGGCTAAAGGCCTCCCAGTGTGATGTTGACCAATGCTGTCTCCGAAGTGTGAACATCTTCGTGCATCCTCACTTGAGAAGTCGAGCATCTCTAATATACACTGGCCACCTGCATTGCCTGTTGTTGGAATTGCATGTGTTTGTTCTGTTTCTGTTTAGAACACAGTGTTTCAAGAAGTTTTTGGACCACAGGGATGTGAAAACTTTCTCTGACTTTAGGTTATGAAAAATGATTTTTCCAGGTTGTGATTTGTCTTTCATGGATTTTGATTATTATTATCTTTTTATTTTGTTAGGTTATGTTTTGCCACAAGAAGAGGTAAGCATCTTCCTTCTGGCTCTGGTTTCACACATAGAATAGCTGTGCCTATCTCGAGATTATGCACATAGTTACTAAAATTATTCATTGTGTACATCTCATCTTTAATCCACCTGGATTTCCCTTTCAAATATCCAAAATGCTACTTCAAGTAAAAAAAAATTAAACCAATCCCTTGTTAAAATATGATTGCAGACACAAACAGCCAACTTTTGTATGATTTCATTGATAGGGAACATCCAGGGTAGGGAAAGACACACAGAGAGAAAGAGGATTACGGCCTTGTCAGGGGTTGGAGGAGGGAGAAAAGAGAATGTGTGCTTTGGATA